ACGTACAAGCGTGTAGGGAAAATGAAGTGCAATAGCTATTTGTACCAAGCAGCACCTGTGGTCAAACACTTACACTTCAGCATTGGCTGGTTCAGTTCAGCTGTAACTTGTCACTGAGAATAGAGAGCAGAGGTTATAATTTTCTGGGCTTGTGAAAACCTGTGTATTTTCCTTATAGTAAAGAAATATCTGAATGTGAGACTCCTAACAGCAGAAAAAAACACCATCTAACAACTAAGGATATAGTGTAATAAAGAGACCAGATTATCCAACGTGTCTGTTGTAACAAGTAATCATCAATCTTTTTTCTTTTCTTTTGTTTTTTTTTTTTCCAAGCAATTGTTATGATGAAGGATCAATTGCTTGTCCTTTTTCAACCATGTCTGGCATTTAAACTTGTCACAAGAGAAAATTTCTTTGTGAAATGTGGTTTTGGTGACATGGGGATTTGATTTTCTTTCGTATACGTATCTAAAACATTTGAAAAGACTTTGCTGAAGTATTTTTTAGAAGGATTTCTTTTGAGAACCTTCTTTAATAAAACTACACCCCAAAATGCATTTATTTTTGTTGTGCTGTTTCTTTGGTTAAGGCTGGTATATGAATTAAACCTCTCATCCCCAGCATATATGGCTGGCTCCTGCCTGTATTCTGGCAGATGGGTTTGTTCAGCCTTGTCCTCATGGATGCCATGCAGGTAAATGAGTTTCTAAGCCTGTCAACAATGTTTTCAGGAAAAACTTCAGTAAGTGATTTAGGAAATTCTTTTTCATAAGGTTATCATGTGTATTGAGATAATACCCATAATATTCCTTTGCCATCATTCTTAGCAGTTTGGATGTGTCCTGAGGACATTTTCTGGGTGCATTGTCAAATGTTTCCACCTGTTATCCATGTCTGAAGGTGCTTTGTGTCAGGAACTATTCCTTCAAAACACTTGCTCTCTATAAGCTCTGTTTGTGAAGTGTCTAGGAAACTTAGGGTCATAATTCAAACCTGGAAGGACTGACAATGGTCCTATCATAGCTAGGTATGTTAGCCAAATCATCTCCTACCTAATTTTGACTTGTATAAATGATAAAGTCTCATAAGAGGATGTATTGTTTAATGCTCAGATTACATTTTGTGAACTAGTTTTCCAATTTATGTGGTCCAGAAATCTTTATCTATTCACAATTTACATAAATGACTAGAGAAGATTTCTGAAAACAAAGCATGCATCTTTAAAAGTGTTAACCCAAATGCATTGGGCTTTATTTCTTGGATTTCATTTCAAATCCCAAAGATTCAAAAAGCCCACTGCAAGAATTTGCATGCTGCATAGTAATCAGGATGCTCTGATATTTATCTGAATGATTTGGGTTATGGAAATACTTTTTCTAGATAAAGTTAAATGCGTGCTCAAAAATACAAAATAAATGTTTTGTTTAATAATTGCTTAAGTTGTTCTAAAGAATAGGATGATTTCTAACATACATTTGAATATAACTGCAGAAAATACATCACTGATATGTTCTGGTATAGTATTTTAAAATAGTATAATCTCCTGGGGAAATCACTCACCTTATTTATATAGGATTTCACTCTGCAAGGTCTAAACCCGTCATGTAGGTATGTACAGAATCATTGCATAGTTCTTGGCATTGATCTGGTGCTCAGCACAATATTGTGCTCTTAAAGAATATTTGACTAAAATGCAGGGGAAAAGTACTGCAGGGTTTTAGGTTTGGGTTTTTTTAAAGTAATATAAAGTTAGTAGAAGCTGTTTGCAAGCACTTGTTCAAAGGCACCCTACAAAAGACTGCATAAAATGAATTTACCAAGAAAGTAATCACATAATTGTCTCATGCTGCTGGGATTTAAATGAGGTAGCCCTAAACCTAATCCCATGGAAAAATTATTGTTTATTGTAGGCATACTCTTATACATTGAAAACAAGTCTATTTCTATGCAAGCATCGAAGTATTTCATGCAAAATAATGCCTACAATACAAAACTAGTAACACTACAGTGCTTACAGTAACGCTGCAGTAAAAGAAACAGTTAGAGCTTTTGTGGGTGTACATCTGCAAGCTGTAACTGCATCCCCTCCAGATCAGTTGTTTCACTTCTCTTGCGCTGTCACTGTTGTTTAACTTGTCTGCCATGGATTTGATAAAAGGGAAAGGCACAGGATATTCAAGTTTTAGGACTTGTCTTCATGGAGGGGATACCTAATGCAAACCACAAAGGAAGGCAAATTAAAAAGCAACTTCAGACAAATATGTGTGAAATCCATAAATCCAGTAGGCTGTTATTAAAATCAAAGCAAGGAAGGATGGATGCTCTCGAGCAGGTTGTCTCGTTTTTGCTCTTTGCCATAGAGAACAATTTGAAACTAATTCCTGTAGAATTACATTACTTCATTTTTTTACATTACTGTAGACTTACATTTTACATAAAGACATTTAAAAACTTCTGATCAATTGATTGCCAGGTGCCTAATAAATAAGGACAATATCTATGTCTACATGTTTACTTTGGATGGAGAATGATGATGAGAAGCAGCACAGCTAAACTTCACCTCTTTACCTTAACTCTCTCTTTAGTTCTGAGAGGAAGCTGTGAGTTCTTTTCATGTCTCCCCAAATAAGATTATCTGTAACATTTTCTTTTACTAACACAGTAGAAACCCCAGTACAATTTCTATAAGCCTGCTGTGCAAATCACTGGCAGAATGTGAAAGGTTGCACAGGACTAAAGGATGCAACTTCTCAGGTGAATAAAATTTGGGATAGGTGCTCTTAGGAAGGACACTGTGTATTTGTCATGGAGGTTTCTTTCCTTTCCTATTTTTCAGAAAAATACCATTCTTTCCCCCACGGATTTCATATTGGGTGCTGAAGAGCAATAGATTTACTAGTGTAATGAACAGTCAGTGGTTATTTTTGGAGTTAGCAAACCTTTTATAGCTTTGCGTTTTTTAATACAGCTATTCTTAATCCTCCTCACTGATGCCTTTTAATTTGGGGTGTGGGGCAGGGAGCTGTTCTAATTTGGGTTATGTGTTCCTTCATCTCTTTCTAAATAGTTACATACTTTAATGATTTTCAGTTTCAAACCAAGAAATGTTGCCAACCAGAGCAGATATTCTAGTTGAAGTGAAAATTAGTTCTTGACTCATGAAAAGGTGGCTTGGTTTTTATTTGGTAACTTCCCAGTACAGGTAAATGAGGAGAATTTTGTTTTTTAAATACTTGATGCTTTTGTCTCAAGTTCTGTTTTAATGTGTCTTTGTGAACACTGAACACAGCAAGCTGGTTCTCCTGCCCCTGCTGCAAACTGATGTATAAAAACTGTTTACCTGTAGATTTCTTCCTTAAATGATAATTAACGTTCATAACTATCCTGAAAATGCTTTACATACTGTTTCTTCTAAGAGACAAGATGTTGGCTCTTATTTTGTTATCAAATTTGACATCAGTGTGTTGAGCTGAATTTACATGTTCTTTCCCTCCCCTAGTACCCAACAGAACCGCCGGATTGCCTTGTGGATTTTCCAGTTCCGTTTGCTATTTCTTGGATGCCCCAGGTAAACTGCTGTACTGTCCATCTCTTTTTAATAATGGGTACATACACAATATGTTGTGATAATGAGGGGTTGGACTTTATTTTTTAACTCCAGCTTTTTCCCTGTGTGCATTTTACTTTCATACATGCTTATGAAAACCTAACAATAGTGAACTCCATATTCCTTATGAGAGTGTTTTAAACATTTCCCTTGCCATATAGATACACTTTCCATGCTGTATGCTTTACACTCATACTGGCTGTATTTTTCTTCAGCTGTTCATATGGCTGGAATAATCTTTAGGAATGATATTGGGAAAATATAGGCACAAGAAACAATTGTCTGATTGACCAGAAGTACCCTCTAAAGTTGACCGACATTAAAAAAGGCAGCCCCCCACTTTATCCTATGTAATTTTGATAACACAACAAAACTTTTCCAGTTACAATCAAAAGAACAGGAAAGTACACAATAGAATCCTGATTTCATGGTTTAACTTACATTGTTAATATAAAGAACCAAGTGCTCCTGTCTTTTTTTAGTCTCTCTTGCATTATTGCATGTATCTTTTTCCCTTAATAGAGCATGTGTACTTGATTAAATGGATTTAAATGTGACCACTTAGATGTAAGTTAATTTGAATTATCTCTAGAAAATAGTTGATGTTTAATTTCATTTCATTCAGGAAAATAGATTTTACCTAAATGATTGCATTTCATAACTCTAACTCTCACGAGGATTCCTACCCATCCATAAAGCCTGTCTCGATGGCACTAAATCTACATAAATTTAGTAGGGAACATGGGAAAAGACTGCAGCAGAGGATTTTAGGACAGGCATATAATTTTGACTGCAAAGCTCAAGGTTCTGCACCTCACCTCAGATCTTGTAATACAAGAGCTTGAGGAAATAACTGTAAAGGTAGCCATTGCAAATGAAATATATAATATATATA